TCCTTGTCCTCTGTTCTATTTTCTTTTCTTTTTTTTTATCTCTCTACGTATATACAACAACAAAAAAAACTATTACGTACATTAGCATACGATATCATCTTGCGAAAATAAGGGACAAATGTCTTCCGTCACGAATCTGACCCGCCGTTCATTTTGCTTCCCACGCGAGGCGAATATTGGCCTCTGTGTCTGTATTATCAGTCGGTTCGTGGGTCATGCACTACCAGGCGATGGCCGACTCGATCTGCCTTGCAGAGGGGGGGGAGGGGGGGAGGATTGGGGTTTTATGTCGAGAATAGGTTTTTTGTGCGAGTAAGAATAGGGAATAGGCAGATATAGGCCTGTTGGGATAGGGTTCAGGTTTAAGCCTTAATAAAAGAATAATAATAATAATAATAAAAACTATTAAAATTAATACATTTTGCAATACAAAATGTATTAATCATATTCTAATGGAAAAAAATAAACTATTTGAAAAGATATTAATGATTGAAAGGAAATTACTTAAGCCCTAAGAGAGACAGAAAAAAAAAGAAGAAAAAAAATGATATTACAATCGATATTCAAATTTCAATCAATTTTTGGCGAAATCGTTTATGCCAGACGAATCAAACCCTGTTTTTTCCATCAACAGGAAATTAATTATACATAACCAGAACGACAGATAGTCATAATAATTTTAATTCTATCACAAACTCGAATGCAACAAGGAAACACTAGTAAGGAACTTCTATAAGACACCACGAGAGAGGGGGGGAGGGGGGAGGGGGTCTAAGATTCCAGAATTATATTCATCATTTCGTTGTTTTTCATTCTAGTTTAGGGTACCATTCTAATAACGTTATTTGTTTGTATCTAGTAGCGTAAAACTGTCTCTCTTCTTATTGTCATTGCAAACGACATAAATTTCTAGGTCAAACTTTCAAATGTATGATATCCGTTTCATTTGAAAAAGAAAAATGTGTGTATGTATATATAAATGCGCGCGCGCGTGTGTGTGTGTGTATATATGTGTGTGTCTGTGTGTGTGTGTGTGTGTGTCTGTGTGTGTGTGTGTGTGTGTGTGTGTGTGTGTTTGTGTGTGTGTGTGTGTGTGTGTGTGTGTGTGTGTGTGTGTGTGTGTGTGTGTGTGTGTGTGTGTGTGTGTGTGTGTGTGTGTGTGCATAATAAATCAATAAAAGAAAAAAAAGAAAAGAAAACGTTATACATAACATAAAACAAAAAACAACTTCTACCTACATAAACAAAATAAACCAAGAGCTCCAATTTCTAGACGTCTGGACGATGCCAAAACTCTCCCACAAACCGTGACAAACAAACGATTCTAAACACAAACGAACAACCTTTCAAGAGAATAAGTGTCAATTTTACCTTAATGTGGACGGTCTTCGGCTGCAGAAGATAGCCCTGGACTACTTGATAGCACAGGATGAGGCAAAGTGTCAGGAGACTCAAGCACAACGTCAGCCAAATAATGCGCCGACACCAGCTGCGGGCCCTTGTGTTGGGAAGAGTGGGGAGTGAACAGTAGTGTTGGTGATGATGATGGTGATGATTGTGGTCATGGTGATGGTGACTGATGATTGTGGTGATGGGTGATGATGATGGTGGTGATGGGTGATGATTTTGGTGATTGTTGATGATGGTGGGGGTGGTGATGATGATGATGATGGTGATGGTGATGATGCTGGTGATGACTGATGATGATGGTTGATGGTGATAATGCTGGTGACGATGCTGGTGATGGTGATGATGATGATGATATGTTCATAATGTTAATAACAACATTAATAATTATGGTGAGGATGAAAATATTGATAATAATGATGAGAATAATAATGATGATAATGAATATGACTATAATTATTATTATAATTATGATTATAAAGATGTTGTTGGTGATAATGATGATGATGGTGATGATGATGATGGTTATTATGTGGATGATGATAACAATAATAGTAATAATAACAACAACATATGAATGAATAAATAAACAAGCGGAAAAGATAAACTCAAAAGAAAGACAGAGTTTGGAAATCAAAATGAGTTATAAATGACATCGGGAGTTTTATCTTTGTAATTATATTGATAGATAGATAGACAGATAGATATTTTGTCATTAACCTCATATTTCTAATGTATTCAAATAAGATAAGATTCATCTTTAAAAATATATATAATAATAACCTTGTTATATTTTTCTTTTTTCATTAACATCAGGGTCCTTTATTTCACAACAGAACGAAAAAATCATTTAAATTCACAATAACAAGCGAAGATTCTGAAACATACACTTAAACAAAACGTATAAATATAGAAAAAGTATGAATGAGAATGAAAAAAATACCTTCACAATGCAAGAGACGTATTTAGAAATTCATTCTCATTCATGCCTTTTCTACCTTAGTCGCAAAGAACACTTCAAAATACGTTTAAACTCACTTGTAACAATTATTAAAGCCATGAGCAGTCCAGGAGTCGAAAAATTCTTTGGCTAAATCTGCATAAGCATCTGTAGGAGCTCCCCGTTTCTTCAGGTCTTCGAAGGACCTGTGGAAAGTAGAGTAAAGATATTAATACGTGTCTGAAATATAAGTGTTTATGAATGCGTAGATGCTCTATCGCGTTCTCACAGCTTGAAAAATCCATTGCACATTTAATCGTTCATTGCTCTAATTTTCTGTATTTTTTTCTGTTATAACTGTAACTAGTGTTATCTGCTCTTTTTTTGTATACGTGTGTATTTGTCTAAAAGGTTTTCGATACCACAAAAAAGGTTTATAATAGATTTACATTTTGATCATAGGACAAGTTACGTACATATTTGACATAGTAATTAATGTTTATCTCATGTGAATATATATATATATATATATATATATATATATATATATATATATATATAAAGTCATATATATACATGTATATGTCTGTCTACATTTTTTCCTTTTTTTTCTTTTTCCTTTCGTTAATATTGCAAAGTAAGACAAATCATCCAGCCTTATCGGGCGACACTTCAGAATGTGCTTGAACATACTCAGACAAAATCTTGACGTAACACTTCCATTATCAAAGATTCACAAAATAAAAAGAAACGCAGATAGTGCGTGTGTCTAACAAGAGTCTGTATATATTACAACATTTATCCGTGAGGTCATTACCCTGTTTTTCTCAAGAGGGAGTTTTACACACGTTGTTGAGAGTTTGGAAGCCTGTATGCCGTAATGTCCTTGTATATATAGTATTTCCGTTGCAAAATCTCGCTGAGAATTAGTTGCTTCATCACATAATCTTCAAAAAATTATAAAATAATATATGTGTGTGTATTTACATACTTATATTGTTTTTCCTCTCTTACTCATGAGAAGAAAAAAGAAACACACACAAAACGACAGATCAAAAAATACCTACCAAAGACACTAAACAAACTCGTTACAAACTACCAAACAAAATATTCAGTTTCTCTCCTCTTAACTCATACGAAAAAAACACACGCAAAACGACCCCCACCTCCAAAAATAATAATAATAATAATAAATAAATAAATAACAGTAATAACAATAAATAAATAGGCAGAATAAATAAATAAATGAACAAATAAAAAAATCCACACAAGAAAAATCAGCAAGACACCAGTACCAATTACCTAACAAAGTCCCTGTACCCTTTGTTTTGATCCAGCCCAGTCCTCAGAGGATGTATCGAGCGCCCAGACATCGTGCTCCAAGTGTTCTTAGGTAACTAACTCATTTTCGTGTGAGAGATGTAGCCACGACCCTCACTTGTTCAGGGAGGGAAGGGGGGGAGAGGGGAATTGCGTGACAGCTCCTTCGCCAGACAGCAATGTATCGTCAGGGAATCATAAAAATAGGGTAAGTAATTAAATACTGTGGTGAGGTCTCGC